CCAGAGATGGGAACAGTATTCCATGTGCGGCCGAATCTGTGCCTTGTAAAGTTGCAGGCGGTGTGCCGGCATGAAATACTGTCCCGCTCTGCTGAGCACGCCAAGCTTTTTAGAGGCCAGTTTGGCCTTCTCTTCCAAGTGACCACGAAATTGCACGTCACTCGATATGTCGACGCCGAAGATTCCGATACTGGCTGAAGCAGCAAGGGGAGTGCCTTCAAACTTGAGGAGATACGACAAAGGAGTTCTTTTTAGCGGTTAACGCGCAAACTTGTGTCTTCTGGGGGTTGATTTGGACTAGATTTAGTCGCCCCCAATCCGATACTTTGTTCAGAAAAGACTCGACTTCAAACACAAGTTTGCCCCGATACTCGGCGACGGATTCCCGATAAATATTGGCACGGCCGGTGTATAAGGCATCACCAGTGCTGTCGTCTGCATAGTAATGAATGTTATCAGCTTGCAACATATCATTGATATGCAGAAGAAACAGCATTGGTGATAGCACGCAGCCTTGTGCAACACCAGCGTTAATAGGCTTGTAATCAGAGCATGCACCGTCTATTACGATCTTGATGCTCCGATTAGCGAAGGGAGCTTCTAAAGAAGCCCTTTGTGCAAAACCCGATCGAAGACCTTCACTATGTCCAAACTAACGGCGAACACCTCCCCCTTGGACTCTACTGCCTTTTATGAGTTTGGTAACCCAGAAGATCACCAGTCGAGCGACCGCGACGTAAACCGTACTGGCGGTCACTAATCAGCTTTTGATCCTCAAAGTACCGCATGAGCTGGCTGTTAATAATGGATTCCACTATTTTAAAGAACAAGGAGGAGATGGCGATAGGCCTATAGTTGGACAGATCAGAGCGGTTACCTTTTTTAGAGATCGGGTGCACGAAGGCTGTCTTCCATGATTTCGAGATTACGCCTAGAGAGTAGGAGTGCCTCCCCCTTGGACTCTACTGCCTCCGGTTATCTATGAGTAAGGTAGACTAGAAGATCACCAGCTGATCGACCACGACGGAAATCGTATTGGCGGTCACTGATCAGCTGGTGATCCTCAAGGTAACTCATGAGGTGGCAGTTTACAACAGACTCTATTATTTTGGAGAAAAAGGAGAAGATGGCGATAGGCCTGCAGTTGGAAGTATCTGAGCGGTCGCCTTTTTTAGGAATCGTGTGGACCAAAGCTGTCTTCCGAGAATTCGGGACTACGCCTTGGGAGTAGGAGTACCGGAAAAGACGCGTTAAAACCGGTGCAACTTCGGAGCAGCACAATTGGAGGGACTCCATCAGGCTCACTTGACTTACTGAAGTCCAGGGAGAAGAGTGCTTTGTGAACCGAGCGCTTTGTAAACCGCACGTCCGGCATGGAGCACTCACACCGCGGGATGGTCGGTGGTGTGTTCCCCCCGTCATCGAGAGTCGAGTTGGACGCAAAGAGAGAGCCTAACAGATTTTCTTCCTTGCTCCTTTGCGGCATGGGCCTGTAAGTCGACCTCTCTGTATAGAGATGGAAGAAATGACTGACAGAAGTTCCCTTGGACAGCCTTTGCGAGAGACCAGAATGAACGGGTTCCCGAAGAAAGGTGAACTAGCTTCTTGCCGTGCTTAGACCTTGCCTTGGCAATGACTCTTTTGAAGGACCTGGAGGCGGAATTATTATATATACTTTTTTTTAAGAGCGCTGGTGCTAACATCCCGAGACGTTGCGTTCATGCGTCAGCCCAGGCCCGGTAGCACTCCTGCTTATAGCGTGATGCTATTTTACGGGCGCGACCAAACCATGGCTGGGATCTGCCTCCGATGGGCACCTGCATCCAATGGCACATCAGTGACAGAATCAACAACAACGCTAGGATCGTCCGGTGAGAAACAAACCCACCCCCAAGGGTAGAACACAAAAAAATACTTCATCCCATCCCAATCGGCTGACCTATAATGACAAACACGGCGGCAGCCTGCAGAATGCAACCGCAACATTAATGTGACTGGCAGCACACTCCGGACAAGACAATGGTCCGATGAGCCTAAAGGGGCGTCGACGAAAACCTGATATCCGTCCGGATGAGAGGTCAGCGGAAGGTCCAACAGGGAAGGTGTAAAATCTTCCAAATCCAAGGTTATGAAACGAGACCGAAACCTGATTTATTTTCATAACCTTATTTAAATACCGCTATTTAAAAATAGATTTTTTTTCACTTTATGAACTATGATGGCAACACTTGATATTTGACGAAATATTCAGAAAGTACGAGTTTTAATGATAATGTTACTTTAATATTATGTAAAAAATACTCATAGATTAAGAGTCACTTTGTCCTTTTGTAGATTTGACGTTTTTAATTGTTTTTTTTTTTTGCATGTAAATACACTGCAATTTGGCATTTTGTCGGAGCTTGATTTACTAGCACGATCACTTGCGGTATGGCTGGTATGGCGCACGACGCGGAGCAACTAGTTGTATATTACGGGCATAAGTCGGACTCTTGTAACTTTTACAGAGGGGTATGCCTTACGATGCCGCCTCCTTTGGTTTAATACTCAAAGGGGTATTCGAGTATTCACTATAACAACTATTCGCGGCATCTCTATTTAAAACCTCAACTACTCACATTGTCTAAAATAATTTAGTAAATATAACCTAGAAAAAGTCGCCGTTAAACACGTCGAGAGTGATTTCGATAGTAAAAAATTTGAAACAATAAAATAATTATTATAAAAAGAATTACGGTGAAAGTCTGTGCAATAAAAAGTTATTTAAAATTTACCCTCTAGCTACAGTGGCGTCACCCTTATTTAACGCTTTTCTACGGACAAATTTTATTACACAGTCCGTTCTCCTTACCTCTAAACTTCATACTTATGTATGAGTATCCAATAAGGAGAACCGTCTCTGTATTATAAAGTGTCCGTAGGAAAGCGCTAAATAAGGGTGGCACTACTATAGCTAGAGGTTAAACTTTAAAGAACTTTTTATAATTTTTCATTGCACAGACTTTCGCCATAATTCTTTTTTATAATAATTATTTTGTTGTTTTTAAAAATTTTATTTCTAAAATCACTTTCAACGAGTTTCGCGGCGACTTTTTCTAGGGTACATTTACTAAATTATTTTAGACAACGTGAGTGGTTTTAAATACTGCAGTTTCATCAATTACTCTAGTCACTACAAATATTAAATTACTCAACTTTAATGACACTTCACTCCTTCGACAACTGCTAAGTTCATTTCATACCCTCTAGCTACTCCAGCACGGTTGTTAGTTTTTGAACTGTTATTTACTGCTTACAGATGGACACTTTTTCAACTATTCTCGTATGTGAGATGGTTCTCCATAACTATATACTCCATGGTCGTGTTGTTATTTTTGTCGCATGGAGGTTAGAGAACAAGAGAACGATCGCTATTTGCTAAAGCATAGCCCGCTTGTCCCTGAAAATTTGTATAATTTATAGCCGCGCTGCCGTCTGTAAGTATCTAGTATCTGCGAACTAGTTTTTTAATTATTGACAAAAAGAAACATTAAAAAAAGGTGAAATATTATTAAAAAATCAATAGTAATTAATATTTTATATTTGTAATAATTTATAATATTTATAACAATTAAAATTATAAAAAACGTAATTTATATGTTAATAAATAATAATAATTAATAATTTCGTTGTTTTCTTTTTTTGTATTTGATATTATACTCATTTCAAACTAGCGCACAACAGTCCGCTTTTATTGAGACAACTTAGCGATCGCAGCGCCTCACTTATTTTGTCCATATTTCTGGGACACTATTTTCTACAGCGATCGTTCTCCTGTTCTCTAACCTCCATGGCTTGTCGCATGGAGGATAGAGAAAAGGGGGAACGATCGGTACGTGCTAAAGCATAGCCCGTTTGTCCCTGAAAATTTGTAGAATTTATAGCCACGCTGCCGTCAGTAAATACCTATTATCTGCAAATTAATTTTTTTATTATAGACAAAAGGAAACATTATAAAGTGTAAAATATTATTAAAAAATAATAATAATAATTTATATTTGTAATGAGTTATAATAATTAAAGTTAAAAAAAAGTTATAAAAAGTTATAAAAAACATAATTTATAATTTATTTTTTAATAAATAATAATAATACCCCATTGCCCGCTGACGTAACAGTTAGCGACACAACTGCTACGGCGGTGCAGTCAGTCAGCACCTTGCCAAGAGGTGTTAGCGCCGTGCCTCGGCAGTATTGAGGGTGAAAAGACCCGTCCGACCCGGGCGTCTCCCGTTAATTGGCGCGCAAAATGGATGATGAATTATAAACAAGACGTATAGGCCCGCTGCCTGGGAGTCGCCGGGACGCGTCTGGAGCTGGTGCTGGACGCGGCAGCATGCGGGCCGCCAGCCAAGCGCGAGGAGCTGCAAGATCACCTAGCAGCCCCCTTCATCCCCACCAGATGGCTTGATGTCGGCGGGGTCCCCTCGGACTCGGCAAGCGGCATCCGCCGCTGGTGGAGCGCGCCGCATGCGTTTGATGAAAAATATGAACGCAAACGCATTGCGGGCGTACTATAGGGCGAAAAGGAAAGAAACGGCAGGGATAGCGTATTGGGCTCGGATGCATTGCTTTTTTGTTGAGCTGGAGCCGTCTATTCCCGTCACGGAACAAAACCTGGCGGACCGAGTTCGGTACATCATGGGCGCGAAAATGTTTAATGATGCCGAGCTCGAACGACTATGTCGTGAGGCCATTCCCTCATTGAATGAATTGGCTATGGCTGGGGATGCAGCTCTTCAGGTGACAGACCAATATCCACGCGTGGAAGCCGCCATGGATCTTCCAGTTTTGGTTTATTCGGACGATGATGAAATGGTCTCCCACGAACTAGAGCAAATGAGGAGCACAATGGAAGAGGCGATTTTGGAAACGCGCAGCATGCCTCTTGAAAATTGACCGCGACTTCCCCGCATACCCCTAAGCAAGCGAAATCGTGCTTTCGTGAGGGCTCTTAACCCAATGTTGGTGACCTATTTGGAAGCCAGCCTGGACCTTTGCGAGACGGACTCAATTCTTTTTGGCGCCACAGTGGCGGTGTGCCGTATTTTTGGCACCAAGCTTCCCATGGCTGGACGCGTTACTAAACAAAATAGCGCCATCCCAGCCTGGAGAAAAAGAATTGAGGACCGTATCACAAATGCAAGGGCCCTTATCGGCAAACCGACAAGCTTCAAGTCGGGTAATAATAGACCGAGGGTTGTGCGCATCGTCAGAATGGCGTTTGCTGGGACAAATATCAGTTTGTCCCAGCCGGATATCACGCAGAAACTAACGGAGCGCATAGACGACCCTGAAGCAAAAAATCGCTGCTCGGGGGAAGCGGATTCGACGATTTACTGAGAGGTCAAGGCGGTTCAACCAGAATCATCTCCTCCAGAGTGATCAGAAGAGGCTCTATAAATCATTGGAGCGACCAGGGGTATGTGGAGCGGGCCCAGAACCGGATCAGGCCGAAACTGTCGCATGCAGAACTGGAAAAGTCCGGGGCTCGACGAGCTGCATCATTACTGGTTAAAGGGGTTCGTGGTGTGTCATACTGTGCTAGCCCGACAGTTGCAAGAGGCTCTCGATCAGAAGTCGATACCAGGCCTCTTCACTACTGGGATCACTCACTTGGTTCCTAAAGATCAGGATACTACAGACCCGAGCAAATACCGCTCCATCACGTGTCTACCCACCATATATAAGACACTGACATCCATTTTCGAGAATCACTCGTCACCTGGAGTTAAATAAGGTGATGTCACGCGCACAAAATGGATGTCGGGGCGGTGGTCGTGAAACCAAGGAACGACTCCTCATTGACGCGGTCATTGTCAAAGTGGTGAAACGCAACCTACAGAAAGGCATTCGACTCTGTGCCCCATACATGGCTAAAGAGAGTCCTCGAGCTGTACAAAATTGACTGTACAGTTAGAGACTTCCTCGGGCAGTGTATGGGGCAGTGGAGTACGATCCTTTGTCATCCGGGCGAGTGGATGACGGCTGCGGAAATCCGCATAAGGATAAGAAGGGGTATCTTCCAGGGCGACTGTCTGAGTCCAATCCGGTTTTGCCTCTCTTTGAACCCTCACAGTATTTTACTGGAGGGCTCCGGGAGCGGATTTCTGCTTCGGAAGGGAGGTCAAAAGTGACCCACCTTTTCTATATAAATGACCTCAAGTTATTCGCCTCCAGTCGCTCCCATCTTATGGAATTGCTAAACATCACTTGTGAATTTAGCAATTCTATTGGATTGAGGCTGGGGACGAATAAATGTGCGGTCCTCTATGTTGAGAGGGGAAGGGTTGCTAACTCTGCGAGCATAGACTTATCTATGCCCGTCAACTTAAGGACCCTTTCCGAGGCTGAAACATACCGATACCTGGGTATGTCACAGAACGTCGGTATCGATGAGGCTGGTATGAAACAGTCAGTTTGTGACGTATTTTATGCACGCTTGACCAAAGTGCTTAACAGCCATTTGTCCGGTGTGAATAAGACACACGCATAAAACGGCTGGATCATGCCTGTCCTCATGTATACCTTTGGCATACTCAGGTGCACTCAGACTGAATTTAACGCCCTGGATATAAAAGTCCACACTACCATGACGTCCCATAGGATGCTTCATCCGAGATCGTCGGTAATGAGGCTGTACTTGCCGCGAAAGCATGGTGGCGTGGCTTTCTGAGCGCGCTCACCATGCATAATCGCGAAGTGTGCAGCCTCCGTCATTACTTACTGGCGAGATCGGATGATCCATTCTATAATGAGATCAGTTCTAGTGATAAAAGGCTTACCCCTCTATCCTTAGCCAATGAGCAATGGCAGGACCCAGCAGTACAAAGCATTTCCGACCGGGAGACCATATGGAAGGAGATGGAGCTTCACGGGAAATACTACTGGGCTCTACATGAGCCTTTAGTAGATACAGTCGCCCCCTTAACTGGCCACGTTTCGGTGACCTCTTCGGGGAAACCAAGGGTTTTGTCTGTGCAATACAGGATCAGGTTATTAAGACCAACAACTATCGGAGATACATCCTAAAGGATGCCATCGTCGACATCTGTAGAGCTTGTCGCCATCCCGGTAAGTCACTTAGGAATATCATCTCCGGTTGTTCAGCGATTTTTAACTCTGAGTACTTGCACAGGCACAACCTAGTAGCCAGAATTCTACACCAGGAGCTCGCTCTGAAATACAGTCTCGTGGACCGGAAATTGCCGTATGACAAAGTACTTGCCGGAAGCCGTGCTCGAAAATGACCGCGCCGGGCTCTAATGGGACCGGACCATCATCATAGACAGGACTATTCTTGCGAATAAGCCTGATATTGTGCTGATGGACCGGGCACAGTCAAGGATATTTTTGGTCGACGTTACGATTCCGTATGACGAGAACCTCGTGAAAGCCGAAACAGATAAACAAACAAAATATCTGGACCTGGCTCAGGAGGTAACCGAAATTATTCCTGTAGTTGTCTCTGCGAAGGGCTAATCCCGGTCAGCCTCTCGGGTCATCTGAGGCGACTGGGACTCCGTGACGGACCGCTTCGGGCTCAAATGCAGAAGGCGGTGCCTCTCGATACTGCCCGTATCGTCCGCCGGTTTCTTTCCCTTTCCCCCTAACTCTCGGTCATTTGGTCTCCCCTGCCGAGGGGAGGGAACCTCCATCTGGTTGGGCTCTTATTTATTTATGTATTTGTTTTATATTATTTATATTTATTTATATTTTCATTCTCATTTACAATTATATATTTATGGAACCCAACCAGATGAGAAAACTGTATAGATACCCCATAAATAATAAAAATTTGATAATTTTCTTTTTTTTTCCTTGAATGTTATTATAATAATTTCGAACTAGCGCACAACAGGCCGCTTTTATTAAAAATACTTAGCGATCGCGGCGCCTCACTTATTTTGTCCATATTTCTGGGACACTATTTCCTACAGCGATCGTTCTCCTTTGTCGTGACTTGACATTGACACTTGACATAGGGATGCTCGTTGTTGCAGAAAAATCGATGATAGCATCGATGTTGGTATCGTTAGCTTAACATCGATGTTTATCTTTCTCAAAACATCGATGTTGGCCATTATCGACGTTTTTTGCACATGTACCTATTTAATAGGTTGAAATTTGATAAATAAAAATTAGTAATGTTGTTTATGGACATTATTACTGAAATAAAAGAAATTAATAAAAAATTTAGTGTCAAATAGTAATAACTCTTATTTTATATGATAAGAGTGACAAACGAGCATACAATCCACTTGATGATAAATGGTTACTGCGGCCCACAGACATCTACATCTATCCTCGATTACGAATTGAAATGCAGACTCATTGTCACCCATGAGGACTAAGATGGAATGCCTAGTTTCCAGTAAAAAGGCTCTCCGGTTCTCTATACTCACCATACGATACACTGCAGCGTTAAGCTGCTATTTTACTATGGTATTCTGCGAGAGCGTGGTCTTTCCCCGGTCAAGCCGACCCATTTGTGCTACAACTTTATCAGTAATATAGCTACAGCATGGTCCTACCACGTATGAAAGTTAACAAATATCTACTTCACAAATATATAACAAATATATACTACTTGTTATATTTTTTGCCAATGATGGTGAATGTTATTATTTTTTAAATGTTCCTATATACTCATAAATCCGGTATGACAAAATTTACTATGGGACCTTATTTACGATTAAGGAGTAGATTTTAAGTCAACTACTCCTATCGCGAAATAAAAACTTTGAATATAGAGAAAAAATTAACAAACTACACAAAAACTAAGTAATAGACTTTTCCGTCACCTTTTTTCACAATTTTTAATCAGGCAGCCCAAGCAGTAAGTATACACAGCCATTTACAATATATACAGTCGTATGCACTATGCAGTAAAATTATCTGTGCTCATAATTGCTCAAATGATTTATTTTCGTAACCTTCAAGCAAACAATAAAGTCATTATGACAAGCTCAATAAGATTGAGTAAAGAAAACAAAATTAAAAAAAAACTATAAACGAAGTAAACTCTACTTCAGTTTAACAGACTATATTATGAATTGAAAGCCTAAGTTAAATAGCTTAAGTTATATATTAAGTTTAGTAACACATAAATTTTATTTCGGTTTATAATTTGTAATTGGGTCCAGCCTGCTACTAAACTTAATATTTTACTTAGGCTTTCAGCTCATAATATAATCTGTTGACCGAAGTAGAGTTTACTTCTTTTACAGTTTTTATTTAAATTTTGTTTTCTTTACTCAATCGTTTGAGTCTTTTAGTGATTACTTTTAAATTATCGTTTTACAGTCGATTTCTGAGATTTTTAATTATTTTTTTAAGTCATTTTAGTGTGCCAGTCTATTGTGTAAAGATTTTTGACAATTTTTCAATAATTATGCGACTTAGAAAGTTTGATGCATATTTTTTGAAATAAACGGTGTTTATTTATTACATTTTTCTTCAAAACTTTAATGTATACGGTTAAAGTTTTATTGAAAACACTTTAAGTATTTGCTTCGTTTAAAATGTGATTGGGCGACGGATATTAATAACTATTCTTTTTTCACATATTAGGACGAGGTCCGACACAAACATTGCACATTTTATAAACCAGTTATTAAAACTTTATAAAACAATTTATTATTCCTAATTAAATTTAACCACACCATCTTTTCTAAGTTTATCACGCAGAGAAACTCCGAGCATCAACTCAAAAACAAATCAACTTATTTTCGATATTCGATAGGATTGGTTATCTTTCTTATTAACTATTACTATTTTGCGCTAAAAATCAGCCATGTTGTTTATTTAAAAAAAAAAACTATCTAAAATACTTTGGTTATAAAGAAGAATAAAACGATACTTTAGGAAACACAAAAAAAAAACATACAAGATCGCGTGAAAACCATAACCCTTCCTTGGCAGTTGGGTAAAAAAAATAGCTAAATTTAATTGAACTGTGTAGAAACCTATATATTGTTTTACAATTATGTAGATATTGATAGCAAGGGAAAAAATTAATTTGCAAATCAATTTACGTAGAACAATTATTAGGCGACAATCGACAAAAATTAAAGAATGACAACTACTCAAGTGTGAACATTACAGTTCACACATGACAGTTAAGTTTGACGCACTATAGTGATACTTTTTTAGGTGATCGATGCTTTTACGAATTTTGAATTATTCAAAACTTTATACCTTTAATAAAAAATGCAATATTTAGTTGATATTGATTTCGCGAGTTCGCATTGTTCATAAGTTCTTATTAATCGATTATGGGTTCATTGACATCGATGTTTCGATGTTTGACATGTGGCAACATCGATGTTTTAATTTTTAAC